TGGATGTAATGCTGGAACTTCTGGAGTCACTTTGTGATCATGAGCGAAAGACCAAGAATATCATAAAAATACCAGCCCAGACATCAGTGAGCAGCTGAACCAATGCCAGCAGCTGCCGACTTCCAGATTGTTTGTGTGAGAAAACCAGACTCTATTGGATTTAGCTACTTGAAGTGGGTTGTCTGTCACTTGTAGCCTTCCTGAGAGACTCACAGCTTCAACCAAAAAAATTTTTTCAGTCCTTGCCTAACTCCACTCAAGACTTAAATTCCAGAAGAGAACATGCCCATCTTTTGGCTAGAGGAGGGTAGGCCACCTTTATTAACAGTCCCACCAAGACTGCACTTAACGAGTAGAAGTGGTACCCAAAAGGAAACTGTGGTTCTGTTACCAGAAAGGAGGGGAACAGATACTGAGTGGCTACAAATCAAATGTCCATTACGGTAGGTACCCTTGTTACAACAGACGATGAGACCGAGGCTCAGAGTGGGGAGGCAGTATGCTCAAGGCCTCAGAGCCAGTCAGTGGCAGAAACATGAAAAAGGACCCTTTACAACCATGCTGCAAGTGTACGGCATTTAAGTAAAGGTCTGTTGTGGCTAGATTTTATTGTAAACCTAAATTAAAAAAACATCTTGAGGCTACTTTATTCACGTCTTATACACATTATTCCCATTCCAATCTTCAGTGATTTTTAACTGCTTCCTATAGCTCCGGAGAAGGGCAGTTTAGTGAGCAATTGTCAGCTAATCTTTCTCACTAGTAGTTATCTTGGTCAGGGGTGCTTGGTTGCAAAGAACAGAAACTTTCTCAAACTAGTTCAAGCAACAAAATGGGGCAGAGGGAGTTATGGTCTGGAGAGACCTTACTGAATCCCCCTGTCCCAGTCGGTGAAATGGGCATGGAGCTGTGATTTGTAAATACTGAGGGGTTTGGGAATAGACAATACTATTCATAGTTCCTGGGAAAAGTGAAGTGAACTTGTACAGATATCGTACTTAGAATAGTGCCTGGCACACAGAAAGCCCTCGTGTTGTGATTGCTACACTCCCTGTGGAAAAATTTAGTGCCAGGTTCTATTTTTGTCTACACTAGCAGAGTTTATGAAGTATAAAGCTAAGTTCCAGTTCTGGCCACAGCACTTTATCACACTGACACATGAGAGGTGCCTAAATTCCAGTAAGGGCCACCACATCTTATCAGCATCAACACTTTAGGTTGCCTGATTTACATATCGGCAAAACCTACAGCCAGATTGAGTGGGGTTAGTTGAGCCACCATGAGCACTGATTGCACATGGGATCGAGATACTGGGGTTGGCTGACTTGCATACAGCCAAGGATGGGAAGAGCAGTACACAAAGGAAGTTGATGACCGAAAAGAAGCTGCCCACCCCACAGGACCAGAATCTTGAGTTTCCAGTCCAGTGCACTTGCTCTCTGCAGGGTGCATGCTGTCCCTCCCCCTCCTAGAGGCTCTAGGCCTCCACAGCCGCTGGCAAAAGGAGAACATCCTCATCTACATCCCACTCTCAGAGGCACCCACCAGAAGTTAAGCCCTGTGGTCATTTATCTTACTCCAAAATAATATAAGAGGGTATAAATAGGAAGCTTTAGTTTAGATAAATAAAAAATTTATGGCGAATAATCCTATAAGTAATTTAGAAAGATCTCTGGTCAGTTTCTACTTATGTCAAAGCCAGTGGACTTGACCCATAGTAATGTGGGTCACTGTAGATTCTTAGACCCCGGTGCCTTTAACAACTCTGGCCTCGTGCCCACTTCCTACTGCCACACTTTACAAAAGCATGACCTCGAGCCTCACAACAATTCTTTGAGGTAGGTGCAAAAGCCCCAGCTCAGAGAGGTTCAAAAAACTTATCCAGAGGGGCCAGCCTGGTGGCGTAGTGGTTATGTTTGCGCGCTCTGCTTCAGCAGCCCCGGGGTTTGCAGGTTCAGATCCCAGGCACGGACCTACACACTGCTCATCAAGCCATGCTGTGGTGGTGTCCCATATACAAAATAGAGGAAGATGGGCACAGATGTTAGCTCAGGGCCAATCTTCCTTAGCAAAAAAAACAAAAAACAAAAAAAACAAAAAACAAAAAAAACAAAAAATTTATCCAGAGACACAGTCAATTAGTGGAGAACACAGGATCTGAACCCAGGTTCCCAACTACAAAACCACACACTTAACTGCTACTCTCCTGAAATGAAGTATTTACAGGAAGCAGCGGGCTTTTGGAAACAGACTGTGGCAAACACAGTGTTCTGAAATTATCTCCTGTTTCCAGAAAGGCCTAACTGGGTTCTGTAAAGCTCACACTGTTGGGTAACCTAACTGTTCAGTAGAAAACAACTGTCCTTACTGTGTTCTTTTCTAAGAAAAGGCAAGAATCAATTTCTTCAAAGCAAAAAAGCACCAGGGTCTCATTTCAGGCTTCTTTCCAAAGTCAGATTGGAGTACATTAAAGGAGTGTGCAAAATAGGGGGCAGCCAAGTAGCCGACTTGGGGAGTTGAGTGTGAATCCTGGACTTGCCAACATACTACCTTGGTGACTGTGAGCAATTCAGCTAACTTCTCCAAATGTAGTTTCCTCTTAAGCAAAGTGAGATGATGATAGGACCAATGAAACTACATGTAAAACTGGAGCCTAGAGCCTCGCACCAGAAGCTACCCCTCAATACAGTAAGCATCAGGTCAGTACTACCCCCGCCGGCTCTGTGCCTTCCCAGCACATCAAGAATCCCTTAGAGAGAACTGTTAGCATTGGTTCACATCTGTTTGCCAGCAACAAAAGCAATGTGAGCTAGTTGTCTTTGAACACTGATGAGGGACTTAGGATGTGCAAGATAAATCACGTGGCCCTTCTGAGGGTCCAGATGTGGAAAGCACGGTTCATACTCTCAATTGGCCCCAAGTCCAAAACACGTGCGCTGGGTAGCCTTTTATCAGGACACACACAGCCTGATGCTGAGTCACGGGGCTGACCGCAAGGACACAGGGGTAATATAGCCAAACCTGGAAGCTCAGTACTTCCAAGATTAAGTTGGACAATGGGGTCAGCATCCTTCCGGACAAATTATGAGTTCCACTTACCTACTCACTGGGGGTGCCTTGCACCCAGAATTACCCCTTTCTCAATATACTCTGACCGCAAAATGGGCACATGACCAAGATGGCAGTCAGAGGGTCTCACCCTGGAATCTGAATCTTGAGAGGGACTTCTGGGACTGCCCAACACCTGGCTTTTTGCAGTCTGGTTGAATTCCCCTAAAAAAGTTCCTCAAGATTTATTTTCTGCTTAAGTGAGCCAAAATTGGCTCTTGTTCCTTCGAACAAAAAAGCCCTATATGAAATGCGCTGCTTTGCTCAGCCAGCGGCTTTGGGCATGGTCAGTACTTCCTCGGGCAGAAAAAGTCACATTGAGGAGAGAGTCAGACCTAATATTTTGTCTTGGAACAGAGATTTAAAGATGATGTCAGGAAAAACATTTAGCACATGGGGAACACAGAGCACCAGGTAATGCTAGGTTTGATGAGGAAGCCTCTATTTGTCTACGTTCAAGTGATGGCATCCACAGAAGAAACTGGTCCTGCCCGAGACCTCCTCCTCCGGTTGCTACCAAGGGGCATGCTGCATATGCTGTTACCCTTGTGGGCCAATAACCACACGCGTGCATTTGATTAGATTTTATTTTCAGAAAGGCATCATTCATTCCAGTTTGTCTAACAGATTACATAAGCAAGGGGTTTTAAAATAATGCTAATGAAGAAATTCCACCTTCATCTGCAAAAGTCAGGCTATGCCGTTAAATATAGCCAAGATTATAAGATTACAAATGTCATTAAGTCAACCAGATCTTGAGGATTATTTACCAACACCCACAAGAAAAAGGCAAAGCTCTGCCTTCCTGAAGAGGTAAGTCACTTTTTAGGAAACTGTTAGAGCTTTTGAAAGCTTCAACATTTGTGATTATGCTAACAGCCTTTGCAAATGTATTTTACACAACCTGTGTCCAGTTAGCTAGGGAGCCACCAGGCTGGACGTCGGCAGGCCAAGCACAACCCTGCAGACGTGCTGCTGTTCATGATGACATCTGGAGGCCTCAAACCGCAGCCCAAAGGCTCTTCCCACGGCATTCGTACATTACACACACACAGGAAGAGTCTCCCCACCGGGAACATTTACAATAAGTACACTTAATACTGCCAGTCACAGGTAACAGACACGTGCTCAGTCTTTAACTGTTTGTGACAAAGCCAAGCTACCCCACTATTCCAATAAACAAGAGGAGGGACTGTTTTAACACACCATTCACTGACTGCTGTGAAGTCTTTCTAGTGCAAGATAGCAAAGCCAATAGAAAATTTAGGGACAGAGGAAAACTTGGATTTCAGTCCCTGGCACCTCTCTACAGACAGACCTGTGTTTCCACACCCTGCTGTCTGGAGAGCTGACCTCCTTCCCTGCCCGACACCTTCCAGCTGAGAAGACAAGTCATTCCAACCTCTTTGCAGTGCGAATCTCGCTGCCCCTGACTGACAGCCACATCTGGAACACTCCTCGTGTCTACATGCAACACAGGGGACGTGAGGGGAGAGGACGGGAGCACTCCCTCTGAGCGAGACTGTGGAAAGAACCCTTGCCCTCTTCTCCCAGAACAGCACTGATCATACTGTCTAACCACCCAAGGAGTCAGAGGGGAAGTAACTGAGGATCACAGAGAATCTACTCAAGCTGTCAGTGCAAGGGCAGAGAAGGAAGCACGTAACCGCGCTCCAACCACGTCACTCTTAACCTCCTCCCTCTTCTCTGCGAACAGCACTGCTCTTCACACTCTCTGCGTCCCTCTCTCTCATCCAAGCCGCTCTGGCTAGTTTTAGTCTTCCCCAACAGGGTCCAGCTGAAAAACAGAAAGCCTTTGGGATGCAGCAGCAGAGGAAATAAGGAATATTTACAGAAACAGGGAGTTTAGGAGAAGCCCTCCCAGTGTTGATTCAGAGAAAAAGGTTCCAGGCTGCCGCCAGCAGCGGGATCAGCACCAGAGCTGTTCTCCCTGACGCGCTCATCCCGCCGTCCTTGTTACACAAGTCCTCCCGGCAGCACTGGTACTTCAGCTGCTTCTCCCCTAAGGTGTTGGAAATGTACTCGAAGTTGCAGTCCTCAAACCTCCAACACTGGTGGTAATATCTTCCTGGCTCTGTGGGGAAGCACACACGCAAGTGTAAGCAAGCAAGTGGGTCAAGTTCCGTAGCCGCCCCGGAACCCTCAGGTCTACTTCTCAGAACCTCTCCTGCGGAAGTGGAGACACTGGGGCAAGAACATGCACCCCAGTTGCGTAGTCAAGGGGAACAATGAAGTAAATGATGACACAGCTCCGAGTGGAACTTTTCCATAAAACCAAAGTCTCATCAGAGCCAGTACAGTTGCGTGTGGAGGGCAGACAACAGGCAATCATACTGATGTTGTAGAGATTTACCAAACTGAAGTTTCGAGATTTTCAAACACATGCCCCACCCCGTGAAACAGATCTCACTTCTAGAGTTTATGCTATGAAGTTACTTGTGAAGAAGATGAAGATATGTGCTCAAGAATGGGCCCTGTAATATCTGTAACATCAACAAACTAAAAGACAAACAGTCCATTTTTAAAAAAGCGTTTGAAGAAATTATGGCAGAGCTGCATACAACGGAATTCCATGCAGGGAAGGAGTGACACAGGCCTGCGTGTGTTGATGCGGAAAGAGTCTGAGTTTTAAAAAAATACAGAAAAATAGATAAATTGAACTTCATCAAAATTAAAAACTTTTGTGCTTCAAAGGACACTATCAAAAAATAAATAAAAATACACAAAAAGGGAGAAAATAGCTGCAAATCATATATCTGATAAGAGTCTAGTATCCAGAATATATAAAACATTCTTACAACTCAACAATAGAAAGATAACCCAATTAAAAAATAGGCAAAGGATGTGGATATTTCTCCAAAGAAGATATACAAATGGCCAATAAGTGCACGAAAAGATGCTCAATATCATTAGTCGTTAGGAAAATACAAATCAAAACCACAATGAGGATCACTTCGCACCCACTAGAATGGCTGTAATGAAGAAATTGGAAAATAACAAGTTTGGCAAGGATAGGGAGAAATTCATTCATTGCTGGTGAAGGGTAAAATGGTGCAAACTTTGGAAAAGTCTACCAGTTTCTCCAAGAGTTAAAAGAGAGTTACCACATGACCTAGCAATTCCACTCCTAGGTATATATACCCAAGAGACCTGGAAACTATGTTCATACAAAAGCCTGTACATGAATGTTCACAGCAGCATTATTCAAAATAGCTAAAAAGCGGAAACAACCCAGATGTCCATTAACTGGTGAATGGGTAAACAAAATGTGGTAGATCCATACAATGGAATATTATTTGGCCATAAAAAGGAAGGAAGTACTGATACATGCCAGTGGGTGAACCTTAAGAACATTATGCTCAGTGCAAGAAGGCAGTCACAAAGGACCATGATACTGTATGATTCAATTTATATCAAATGTGCAATATAGGCAAATCCCCGGAGAAAGGAGATAGTAGCTGCCACGTTCTGTGAGAGGGAGGAATGGGGAGCGACTGCTAACGGGTAAGGGGTGTTAAAAATCTTCTGGAATTAGATAGTGGTGATAGCGTACAACCTTGTGAAGACACTAAAAGCCACTGAAATGTACACTTTAAAATGTACATTTTCTGGTATGAGAATTATATCTCACTAGAAAAAAGCCGAGATGCAGAGCAGTATGTAGAATGTGATCCATTTGTGTAAAGAAAGTATATGTGTGGGGCAAATGCATTCATTTTCTCTGGAAGGATTCCCAAGTAATTTAACAGTATTATCTTCTCAGAAGACTATTCTCCATTTATACATTTCTGCATGGATTGAGATTTTTAAAAAAGCCATTGCATAAATTTATTTTAAAAATATTTTAAACTTCATTTAAAAATCACTGGACTGGGGCCGGCCCGGTGGTGCAAGCTGTTAAGTATGTGTGCTCTGCTGTGGTGGCCCCGGGTTCGCCGGTTTGGATCCCGGGCACGCACTGATGCACTGCTTGTCGAGCCATGCTGTGGCGGCGTCCCATATAAAGTAGAGGAAAATGGGCACGGATGTTAGCTCAGGGCCAGTCTTCCTCAGGGAAAAAAAAAAAAGAGAGGAGGATTGGCATCAGATGTTAGCTCAGGGCTGATCTTCCTCACACACACAAAAAAATCATTGGACTATTCAGTAACCAGGAAAAGTTTCCAAAAGAACATGCCACTATGGTCCCAATTTTTACACACACAGGAAAATAAAGACCCAAAGTATACGTGCCAAGTTTCTTATAGTGGCTTTTTAATATTTAGAAAAATTATAAGTGAAAAAAAAAAAGTGTTAGTTGAGAGAGAAGAGTTATGGTACGTTGTCCTCTCCAAAAACAGCTGTCTATGCACCAAGACTATATGCTAGATGCTGGGGACAGAAAGATAGAGAAGGTAGGCCCTTGCCCTGGAATCATTTTCTTATCTTCTGAGCTGGAAAGAAAAAAAATACAGATGCCCATTTCCTTATTTAAGACTTATAACCAATTTATCCAATTTCGTTTATAGTGCAGAACAAAACATCTAAGTTCATAACTGCAGGTTTACCTGTCCTGTCCCCCGCTCATAGGGGATGGGTGTTTGGATGAGATTTTAACGAAGTTTGGTCCAGTGACAGAGGTCAGACAGAGTGTTCCCATGGCTCTACTTGCTTGGTCATAAGTATTTCAGTGGATGCTTCTCATACCGTCCTAGAAGTTGCTGGAGAGTAGGACGAGTTCCTTCTTCAGATAATACTAATGAGGCATTGGAACTGGGAAACCATTAAAGCTACCAGAATTTTAATCAAGGAAGATTTAACAGCTTGGGGAGAGCAGAGAGTAATTTATTAATAATTGCTACCAATTGATCACTTACTACGTGTCCTGCAGTGAACAAGCACTTTACCTGAATGGTCTTTGCCTAACAACTATATGATGGGGCGTGTCCCACCAAAGCTGCTATCAGAGTCACCAAAACAGAAATAGATTATACAGGTCACTGGAATGTCAGAGGTCCTCTCTCTGCTTGGCACGTCCTCTCCACTCTCTTTGAAGGCTTGGCTTGAGTACACCTTTACCAAGCAACAGTCCCTAGTTATCCTAGGCACCCCTAAGTGTGCCCCTTATTCAGAAGGCCATTACAGCAATGATCGCTTGGCACCGTCATCAGAGGCTTCTGCCAGATTCTAAGTACACAGTTTATACTTCCTGGACGTGGCCAGGACGCCAGGAAATAGTGGCTGAATTAACACGCAACACCTGTCTCTCTTCTAGATGTAATCTGCACAGCATTATCATACCCATTTTCCCTTCTAACTGCCCCACTGGCCCCAGGAGATAAGTATCCCATTTAACAGCTGGGCGAAAACATGGCCAGAGTATTAAATGATTTCTCCGAGGTAGTGCCTGGCCCCTGACTCCTGTTTCTGGCAGTGTGCCCTGCCTCCCCCAGGTGGTGTCCATCAGAGCTGGAGGGGGATTGAGATGCTCTGTCAATATCTGCCTGACCATAAGGTCAGAATAGCTATATTTCAAGAACTTCTGTTTTCACACGTCTAGCTGAAGTTTTGGGACTTATGTTCATGAGAAGAAGAAAAATATTTAAAATTTGCATTATCCTTTTTCTTTTCTGGTGAGGAAGATTGTCCCTGAGCTAACATCTGTGCCCATCTTCCTCTATTTTTTGTATGTGGCACTCTGCCACAGCATGGCTTGATGAGTGGTGTGTAGGTCCATGCCCAGGATCCGAGCCTGTGAAACACGGGCTGCTGAAGCAGAGCACGTGAACTTAACCACTATGCCACTAGGCTGGCTCCTGCATTATCCTTTTTAAAAAATAGATTTTATTCTTTAGAGGAGTTTTAGATTCACAGCAAAATTGAGCAGAAAATACAGAGTTCCCATATAGCCCCCTGGCGCTCCCACCTCCCATCCCAAACATCCCCCACCAGAGCAGTACCTTTGTTACAAGTGATGTGTCTACACGGACTCATCATCACCCAAAGTCCATAGTTTATCTTTGGGTTCGCTCTGGGTGTTGAACATTCTATGGGGTTTGACACATGTATGACATGTATCCACCACTATAATCTCATACAGAGTATTTTCACTGCCCTAAAAATCCTGCGCTTCACTGGTTCATCCCTCCCTCCTCCCCACAACCCCTGGCAACCCCTGACCTTTTTACTGTCTCCTTAGTTTTGCCTTTTGCAAAATGTCATATAGTTGGAATGATACAGTATATAGCCTTTTCAGATTGGCTTCTCTTACTTAGTAATATGTATTTAAGGTTCCTCCGTGTCTTTTCACGGCTTGAAAGCTCATTTCTTTTTAGTCCATTGTCTGGATGGACCACAGTTTATTTATCCATTCACCTACTGAAGGACATCTTGGTTGCTTCCAAGTTTTGGAAATTAAGAATTAAGCTGCTATAAACATCTGTGTACAGGTTTTTGTGCAGATATGTTTTCAACTTATTTGGGTAAATATCAAGGAACACGATTGCTGAATTGTATGGTGAGAGTATGTTTAGTTTTTTGTGTGCGTGTGTGAGGAAGATTGGTCCCGAGTTAACATCTGTGCCCATCTTCCTCTATTTTGTATGTGGGATGCCTGCCACAGCATGGCTTGATGAGTGGCGTTAAGTCCACGCCCAGGATCCCAACCCACGAATCCCCGGCTGCCGGCAAAGCGGAGTGCACAGAACTTAACCACTACACCACTGGGCTGGCCTGAGAGTATGGTTAGTTTTTTAAGAAACTGCCAAACAGTACCATTTTGTATTCCTGCCAGCAACGAATGAGAACTCCTGTCACTTCATATCCTTGTCAGCATTTGGTGTTGTCAGTATTTTGGATTTTAGCCTTTCTAATAGGAGTGTCTCATTATTTACATTAACCATTTCTAAAACTTAACAATTCATTATAAGATGAATAAGTTCTGGGGACCTAATGTACAGCATGGTGACTACAGTTAATAATACTGCATTACGTACTTGAAATTTGCTAAGAGAGTAGATCTTAAGTGTTCTTATCACATTAAAAAAAGGTAACTGTGAGGTGATGGAGGTGTTAATTAGATTGATTATTTCACAGTGTATACACATATCAAATCATCATGTTATACACCTTAAATAGATACAACTTTTATTTGTTAATTACACTTCGATAAAGTTGGAACAAATTAAAATAAAAGTTTAACAATTCAGATAAGAAACAACAGGATTTGAGAGCTGGAAAAAGATTTTGGCTCTAGTCTCCTTCTCTCTTTTCCTCTCCCCCACCTCTACATCACCTCTACCATCCAACACGCACTTTTCATAAATAAAAACAGAGGCAGAAAGAACTTACTGGTGGCAGGACAGAGATCAGAGCTCCTAATTGCTAATCTAATACTTCTTCTACATGTACTTTTGCCTTTATTCTCTCATTTGGAAACTACACTTTTTGTAGTGGGGGTCCAAGAGACACCAACAACCAAGGTTAAGAACCAGGTCTCCGTGCTCACACGTAATGGGTGCTCAAATATTTGTGGAGTGAACGACGAGGTTCTCTCTGGAGCCTTACTACACCTTCTACATTAACAATGCATTAATATGGTCCTCTAGCAGCAGCAGAGGAAGTGTCCCCTACAGAATTGAGGATCTCGAATGTAGGGCTTGGAATTTTAGCTGCATTCCAGGAATTTATATCAATTATCAGATACTTCTGTTTTTTAGACAGGGTAATTCTAATTTGTCCTTACTTATTGAGGGATTTCTCCTTTTGGGGAAATTAACCTTCTCGTCCTTTCGATCAGGTTGTTTTGAACCTGTGGGTCTCCCAAGCCTTTTATGGACTTACCTGATATGTTCAGCATTCCTTGGTGTTGATATGGGCGAGTTTGTGGGAGAGGGTACTAGAGTGAAATAATCTTGAAGGGTGTTCTTATTTTTATTTTCTAGAGATGTAAGTCTGGGGGTTTACCTGGTGCACTAAGGAGGTCCTGAAATAGCCATTCCTTACCAGTGTCATTTCCACACATTGATTCAAGCCAGAACCACACCCAGCAAGAAGAGGGCACGGCTTTGCTGGTTTCCTTCCCCTGTCTACCATTTCCTAAATTCTATTTCAATAGGATTTATGGATGTGGAGATTCCACAGTCTAACCGATTTGGAAAAAGCAGATCTGACAGGACTCGTCGATATTAGCAGTCCCCACCCCTGCCCATGAGCACCTTGACCCTGCTGTTCCCTTTCCCAGGAACACCTTTCCCTCCGAGCCCCTTACTTCCTACTTGTCCTTCAACCTCAGCTTGAGCCCCCTCAGGTCTCTCTCTGTACTAAGTACCCCAGGGATGAGACAGAGGTATAAATGAAGCCATTTGTGATAGCTAACAGGCTTCTGTCCTAATTGTAACTGCCTCCTTTCTTCATCCCTCCATCCCCACCCCTAGCTCGGGCTCTGGCACGCAGCAGGCTCTCAAAAGTCTGGGAGGCAGCCAGTGCGGCTGGAGCGAGCACAAGCGTTGGAATTAGATGGGTTCCCACGTTGAATCCTGAGTTGGTTACTAACCTTAGTCTGTTGCTTAATCTGAGCCTTGGTTTCCTCATTTATGAAACAACAATAAAGGATCACCCTGAGCAGCAGGTGGGAAGCAGTCAAAGATGGATGGAGAGCGCTTCGTGCCACATGCAACTGGTGCTATGAAATGGCAGCTCTGACTTATTAGATACAAGTCCACCGAGGACGAGAGGGGCACACATTTTCCCAGGCTCTCACCATCCCATTACACTCAGGAGGGAGGGAAGGGGGAGGCTCTTACCGGCTTTGACCAAGAGACACGAGTCAAAATTGTGTGAACAAGTGATGCTGTTATTGCAGGTCTTCACTGGGTTAATACAGGAGTAGCACTGCAGGCTGTGACCTAGAATCAGGAAGAACGCCCGTCAGGACCTGTCAGACAGCACTGACGTGCCCTCCCGGCAGGGACAGAAAGCCCACCACGTCCCTCAGCATGGGCCGGCAGCCAGCCCACGCAGCGAGCTTCCGTTCCCATGCACGTCGGCCGCGCATCACTTCTAAGCTCAAACTATAGTCCCTGCGGCACTTTTTGGGCCCTGGTGCAAGTGCAAATATGAAAGTTTCCATATTTCAAAAAGCCTTCTCCCCCCTCACCTGGAAGAGATTAATCTGCAATGTAATGACGGACAAAAAGGAAATTAACAAGAGAATAAACTAACAGAATTCTATAAATGCCTTCCCAGCAACGAATATTCTCCATTAAATCACATTCTCATGGACTGAAAATCAGTGTTTGGCGTACCTATCTCTGTGAAAAAGTATTTTCAAATGTGAAATGCATACAGTCTCATTACAGGTCAGGATTAACAGATGAACCCTTGAAACATCCGGCCAAAACCCCACCCCCATTGTCTGCAGAGGACAAGACAGACGCCCGGAGGGGGCCAGTGATGACCCACGGACACCAAAAGCACTGCGAGCAGCAGAGCAGAGCCACCCCTGCCTCTTCTCCCCCAGCGCCAGCGTTTGCCATGTCTGCGTGAGGGAAGCCACGATGAGGACAAAGGCGCAATTTCTACAGTCTCTTCCCTGCTCCAGACGTGTGTTCACACGCACGAGAGGACAGCACGCAGGGCAGGCATTGTTCTAGCTGGCCATCTGGAAAGGCTGCCCACAGGAGTGAACTTTCTCCTGGTCAGAGCCAGAGTCCACTGGGCTTCTTGACAAACCTTTAGACAGAGGAACCAAAGCTCACGTCCAGAACTTCTGTGGGGCAGAAACGGCCATAGGTCACACGGTCACTCAGTGTCCACCTATCTGTGCAACTCTGTGCCAGGCTCTCCATCTTCACAGAGTTGTTACAAGAGGCAGGCTCCATGGGCTCCATCCCCATTTTTTGAGAGAAAACTAAGATGAAGATATTAACTTGTCCAAAGTCACACAGCTACTAAGTGAGGGAGCTGGGGCTCCAACCCGGGCCATCAGTTCTGAACCCAAGCTTGGCTCAACTGTGACGTTCTTCTAATCGTCCCAAGTGGGAAAGAGAAGGAAGCAGCACAAATTGCGGGGAATACCCAGGTCAGGGGCAAGCAATTAGCCAGCGACGACTGTTCAATATTCCAGCTACTAAGCCAGGGTGGAGGGGATCTGCTTCATACCTGACTCTCTAAGGAAGGGCCTACATGCACCCGAGACCCATCACAGAACAGTTGATGGCCCCAGACGCAAGCCTGCTCCGTACACAAATGCCGACTGCGGGCAATCGGGCATGACCAGGCTCCTCTAATAACGGGAAACACACTGGGTAGAAGCACTGAGGCAATCAAGTCGTGTTGTGACACAGGTGAGCCACATTACAACTGACCCTGGCTAGCATCAGCAGAGGTGGGGAGGGCGAGGAGCACGACTTTTTCTCGGAAGGGCAGGGTGTATTCTAATATGGCCTTGGGCTAGTTTCCTCTTGGCTCCAGCTTCCTCAACCCTAAAATGGGCATCACAGCACTGACCCCTCCTGGGGTGGCTGGAAGGAGTAAATAAGGTGGGGTTTGGCAAGTCCCTAGCACATAATAATTGTCCACTATGTGGCGGCTACTAATACACAAGGCACGCCCCACGCGGCAGGGGTCTTTTTTGCTGCTCATTGTAGTGCTACTTTCTCTTCTCTCCCCACAAAATAAAACTTGTAGTCCCAGCACAACACAGGCAGAAAATGACATCTGACCCTTATGATGCAGCAAAGCAGGTCGCACAGGTGTTTGTGCTGCAGACGTAAAACTCAGGAACATATAGCTCCCTTGGGAGCCGGGGGGCGCCCAGTGAAGAAGTTAAGAGCAGACACTCCTGGACCAGGCGGTTTGGGTTCGAATTCTGGCTGGACCATTTCTGTGTGATATTTGACAAGTTATTTAATCTCTTTGGGCCTCAGTCTCATCATTTGCAACATGGCGATAACAGTACCTACTCATTAGGGTTGACGTGAGGATTAAATAAGTCAATACAGGTCCATGCTAAGGATGGTGACCGGTACATAGAAGATGTAGGCACCAGTTGCTGCTGCTATCACTATGGTCATCAGCAGCCTGTCGTCACCAGACAGGAAGCCCCGGGCAGAAGGAGTGAGCTCAGCGCTCTAAAGACAGCATCCAGGGAGGGGCCCAGCAGTGTGTGTGTGTGTGGGGGGGGTGACACTTCAACTGCTGAGTCTACCCTCCTCCCCTAAAGAGCAGCTCTGTAATCCAGGACGGGCTGTAACCCAGGAAGGTGCTCCAGTGAGGGCGGGGCCGTAACGTAGGAAGGAGCTGTCACACAACCCTGGACCTGTAACACTGGAAGCACAGAACCAAAGCAGGCCTGAGGCCAGAGGCATCAGCTCAGTCTTCCTGGCAGCCTAGATGGTCGAGATCCACCCCTCTGGCCCACTCACCTGAACGGCAGAGGACAGCCAGGATGAGCAGGAGCCCGAGCAGGACGAACCCTTCTTTGCTTCCCATTGTGACTGGCACAGAATCTGGAAGGAAGGACACAAAGGGTCATCAGGAACCAAGAAAGGACTGCCGGGGATCTCAGAAACCAGGAGCTGGGGGCTGCAGGAAACATGGGGATGGAGCTAGCAGACCAAGAAAGTATGGAACTTACCAGGCTGGGGTGCCATGAACCAGGAGTGCTCTCATTGGAGCAGTGCCTGGTCCCCACCTCCTGCCTTGAGACCTCAGCTTACTGAAGAGACGCTGCTGGTCCTGGTGAGGGGGCAGCTATGAGGCGTCAAAGCACGCTGGGCCCAGAGGCAGCAGTACCCGGGCGGCCCCAGCTCTCACCCACAGAAGCCTCCGACTTCACTCCCGGGCAGTGGGGACAGTGCTGTCTTCTCCAAAAAGGTTGTTCAGTCCAATGAGAATACCAGAAAAGTACTTCCTACAGCACCTGCACCCCCTGCTCTGCCGGCACCACCCCAAGCTGCTGGCCCAGCAGGCCGAGTGAGGGCCACTTCTCCAGGCCACGTCACCAAGTGCCTCAGCAAAAGGGTGACTCTGGAGGGCACCAGTATGCATTCAGCAGCAGCATGCCTGAAAGCTCTGGCTCCGCCCTTAGCAAGTACGATGGGGACACCTCCTTGTTCACCCTGGGGAGGTAAAGAGGGGGTCCAGGCAACTTTGATGACCAGTCCCCATTACATTAATGCCTAGATGTGCAGCAGCGAACATCAGGGGAGAAGACGGGGAGGCTGAAATGCCTCCAACCCTCCCTTCACCTGCTAAGGAAGCCAAGGCACAGGGAGGTTTTTTGTTTTGTTTTGTTTTTTGCTGAGGAAGATTCGCCCTGATCTAACATCTGTGGTCTGTCTTCCTCTATTTTGTATGTGGGTTGCCGCCACAGCACGGCCACTGACAGACAAGTGGTGTAGGTCTGTGCCTGGGAACTGAACCTGGGTCACTGAAGCAGAGCGCGCTGAACTTAACCACTAGGGCACCAGGGCTGGCCCACAGGGAGGTTTTTAACTGCCTAAGTCCAAACTGTGAGCAGCAGACCTAGGAAGTCTGCCAGCCCTGCCCCTACACCCCTGAATCCATTTTGAAGCCAGGAAGTGAAAGCTCCTCCAAACCAGGGAGCTCCACGCTCTACTCTCCTGAGGCCTGCGGGCCAGGCTCCTGCCTGGCCGACTGATGGGGCTCTTCATGGGTGAGCTCTGCCCTCCTCTCCGTTAGGAACGTCACCTTTCATCTTCGAAGGTCATGTGCCCCTCAGGAACTGGCTGACACAGGCCAGGGGAGGGTTGAGAAGTGGGAAGGGCGGGGTCTGACACTGCCCACAGAAGAAAGCCTGGAGTGAGTTATGCCTGGGGAAAGAGACAGTGGCTTTCTGACGTGTGGGACCCAGGAAGGCCTGGACTTTCTGTAGTTGAGTAACCCCACTTTCCTTTGGCTTCTTCTGATCCAACAGCCTACCAATGCCCCCCTGCCCGTGCTGACCCTCCAGAGGGTTGGCTGCCCATAGCGACCCTGCACAGGGAGGATCTGACACTGCCTCAGGGCAGTGGCTCAGAGCTTGGACCATGGAGTGGCGAAGACCTGGGTGTAGGCTGCTGAGGCCGAGCCTCATTTCTCACCTGTAACAATGCAGGTACACAAGAGCTTCCCAGCACCATGAGAATTAGGTGAGACAAAACAAAAGTGTGCTGGACACAGGCAGTCATGGGAAAGTGGTGCATGTTGCCCCTTTCTACCTCACCCCGGAGCCCCATGCCCAGCCACACACACCGACTCCTGCCCCAAATCAGACAGGCATGTCTACACCTTCAAGTCTGAGTATCTGACTCTCTGGGGATCTTTCTTCTTATTCCCTGACCCTGAGAGATGGACGACTGAGGTCTCTGTACTGTGGTAGATCAGGAAGAGGCCCTGGCCCCCTGCTGGCTCCGACCCTCTACCTGGAGCCAGACGCGTGAAGGGAAGGAACCATAACTGTCTCCCCAGGCAGTGTGATCCAGGCCCTGGCCCGCTTGGTTCCTCACACTCAGGTTTCCGGGTAGAAAGGGTGATTTGCACACCCCAGCTAGACAGGGCCTGGGTCTGAGAGCTGCTGCAAGTGAAAGCGGAGAGGAAGGTGCCCATCTGAGGTCCCCAAACAGGGAGGCAGGAGCTTACGACACTTCCTAAAAGTGAAGAATAGCTGCTGTGTCCCCATCGGAGGAGGAGGGACCTCCTGACTGGGGTGAGCGCTGGAAAGGTGTCAGGCTGGCAGGGGCTGCCAGCTCCAGGAGACTTCCCTTGGAGTGGTTTTCGACATAAATAACACCGTTAAGACAAACGGGCCTCAGTGGCGCAAGCGGTTAAGTGCGTGCGCTCCCCTATGGCGGCCCAGGGTTCGCCAGTTCGGATCCCGGCCACGCACCGACGCACTGCTTATCAAGCCATGCTGTGGCCGCGTCCCATATAAAGTGGAGGAAGATGGGCAGGGATGTTAGCCCAGGGCCAGTCTTCCTCAGCAAAAAAAGAGGAGGGTTGGCAACGGATGTTAGCTCAGGGCTGATCTTCCTCACAAAAAAAAAAAAAAAAGACAAACGGGCCTACAGAGAACCATCTCTTGAGGAAGCACATTAGAGAGAACCAGCCCACTAAGAAAGGCTCATGTCTTAATAAAAGCAGCAGAAACAATACAGTGAACTGGTTAAGGGGCAGGCTTTCAAGTCCGGTCTGGAGGGCTTTGAACAAAGCCTTGAATAGTTCTGGCTCTGCCACAGCCTCAAATAGTTCTGGCTCTGCCACTTACTTGCTGTGTTACTCAACCTCTGAGGCTCCATTCTTCATCCAGTAAACAAGGGAAAATTACATGTACTGCACAGCACAAGGCCTGCTCAAAGAAAGCACTAGGAAAGCAGTAGCCACTGTTAGCCTTACTGGGAAGTCCTGAGGTTACCAAGAGAAGACACTGGGCAGGGAGGAGCTGTTGGGGGGTGAAGGGTGGGGAGTGTGGACAGAGGGTGGCATTAGGTGAGGAAGCCAGACACACACTCTGGATGGGATGAGTGGCGGAGATCTCAGGCCCCAAACCTAAGGCAGCACCCAGCTACCAGGTTGGATGGGGAATATCAGGTCTCAGCTTCAACTCCACACAACTAGCTGGTAGTCCCAGTAGCTGCTTCTGTGACATGGCTGCAGGAGGGCAAAGAGGCAGAAGGAGGAAGTGGCCAGGGTGCTGATGACAAGTTTGAGCTGTTCCAACCAAAATAAGACCAGGTGTTCACTAACCACGGCTAAAATACGAATTTCCAAGAGCAAACCATCGTTATGGAATGGGGGGTGGGGCATAAAATAGGTGATGGTTTTCAAGTTATTTTATAAGTGTCCCCAAAATGTTGACAGTAGTAATGTTAAGCAGAATTATTTATGATTTTTAATTTTTCTGACCCTTTTTGCCATACTTTCTCCAAATATTCTATAATGAACTAAGCCTTACTTTAATAATCAGAAACATCAGGAAAATCCACACATTACATTAGTAGTCATATATCATCTGTCTTTCGGCAAATCTGTTTCAGAATTGAAACAGAAACAAACTGAACCTCAAGTTTGAAGCTCTTTCCCTGGTCTAAAACACCCTCCATTCTAAATGTACAATGACGCCCGTCAGTCAAGTGTAGACCAGACAGTGGACCAACCAAAGGAGGCCGCAGTGCCGCTTCCAACGCACCGGGACCAACACTCACACGCAGCGCCCCAGAGGCCCCTCTAACTCTTCTCTAAACACATCAGGACTCACGGCAACAGTGGATTTAATTCCTGGAAACAGCCCCAAGTCCTCCTGAGAAAGGTACACAGAACAAGATGGGGTGATTGGAAAGCACCACTAGGAGCCACCCCACAGCTTGAAGCCAGCCTCAGGAGGGATGGACAGATTTCCTGGGTGGCTCTGCAAGGGACTCTGAAGGGAATTCCTTCAGGGGTGCTCCAGATAGGCTTTTTTGTGTGTGTGTGTGTGGGGAAGATTAGCCCTGTGCTAACATCTGCCAATCCTCCGGAAGACTGGCCCTGGGCTAACCTCCGTGCCTATCTTTCCTCCACTTTATATGGGATGCCACCACAGCATGGCTTGCCAAGCGGTGTGTCAGTGCGCGCCCGGGATCCGAACCAGCGAACCCCGGGCCGCCACAGCGGAGAGTGCGCACTCAACCACTTGCGCCACCGGGCCGGCCCAGATAGGCTTTTCATCAGAGGAATAAGTAAACAGTCAAGGATATATAAGCATGGTTTAAAAGAGTAAAAATTTAACATTACATGTCCAACAAGAAGATGAATAAATTTTGGTACAATTCCATGGTGGGGAATGACACAGCCATGAAGAGTAACAGACAAGGAAGTCTGTTCACAATGGATTAAGACAACAGCCAGTTTAAAAATAGCTATAATTTTATTACTTTTTCTTTAAAAAAAAAAAAAATATATATACACACATACACACATGCATATAAAAAAGCCTTGGTACATCACATCAACTTTTCTGAACATTTTGGAAATGTGATTAACAGAATGGTAGAATTATGAGCAGCTTATGTAAGCTTAAATATATTTTCTTAACAATGAACATTTTTATAGAAAGAGCTCTCAATATGATAGAAGACTATTTTAATGTATTTAAGTATCATTTCACTTGCAGTTTCTTAACTTTTTATTTTTCTACTACTCAACCTGATTAGGTATAAAACATATACACCACCTCTCAAAATTGGCTACTGTGAGTTAAAAGATGTTTCATGTATAATATATTCTCCTATGTCTGTATGAAAACAGTTTAGTCCCACCCTGTCTTTGTAAAAAATGAGGCTGTGGTGATTTTCTAGTGGTCGTGAGAGAGAGACCTAAATTCTAACCCCACTTTGCTGCCAACCTTAAAACAGTCAACTCCTTTACTGCGGTTCCCAATTTGTGAAGTGGTAATAATTTTATAGAATGATAAAATATAAAAATAAGACCTGAGAGTTTTAAAGCTCACCACGGACTAAAATGTCAGTGGCAGTTAAGGAACAACAAGCAGACAAAGGCACACGCAATCCGCGGGTTACTCTGTCCTGGGCTCAGACCCGACCTGCAGATAATATCTTTACTTCTAGGTGCCAGATTTCCGAATTTCTTCCAGTTTATCACGATAGCAAATAAACAGTGGTAGAAGTCAGGAGAAATGGTTGATGGACTCAGGGCTGTTCTATATGAAACAGTCTAGTCAGAGACAGTTACTGTCTTCACATATGGTAAGGGCCTCTGAGGAAGGAAGGGAGAGGTTCTTCTGCGTAATTTCCCAGGACAGCATGAGGGTCAAGGGGGGAGGCGTTCTGGGCTTCCTAAAGAGCTCCCCACCACCTCCTCACCACGTGCCAGGCACTGTGCAAAGAGCCAGCACATCTGGAAAGCAAGTCCCCCGGCGAAAAGTACAAATCTCCCCACCACTTGGAAATGCTCAGAGAGTAGAGATCACAAAGCAGAGATGTTGAGAAAGATTCCTGCAGAAAGCAGCAAGGGGTTAAAACAAAAGACCTGTGAAGTACTAAAGACTCACTCGACAATAAAACCAACCTGATAATTACGTATTCATCACCACCCACTTGAGATGTAAGGGAAGCTAAAAAGTCACAAGGTGATTTACAAACTCAGGCATCCCCAGTCAAGTTCCTGGAAATGTTTTGAGCAGCAAATTTTGGATAGTGCGAGCCTATATTCCGTTATTTTAAATAGGAAAACAAAGACATGTTACTGTCCATCCAAAATCCCCAGCCAGTCCCCCAAATATCTGCTCATCTTTCTATCTATCTAAACAAGCCACAACATTTAACACACCAACTATTTAATACGTAACTTAAGGAATGCACTGGTGGGCATATTCACTACTTCAAAACAGGTTCAGTCTCCAACGCCTACTCCCCAGTCATCTTCACAACGACCAGCCATGAGCCCACTGTGAGCAGGGGCCAGGCTAGGCACTGGGCCACCGTGACTGCTGAGCTAGGCAAGGCCCCACTCTCAAGAACCTTACAATCTAGCGAGGTGGACAGGACTGGTCCTCCAACTTTAGTGGGCATCAGTCACCTGGAGGGCTGTTAAACAGAGCACTGGGCCCCACTCCTGGCGGTTCTGATTCAGTAGGTCTAGGGTGGGGCCCAAGAATCTGCATTTCTAACCAGGGACCACCCTGAGAACCATTGGGTTAGCAGTGACCTGGGACAGGGGACAGGCTACCTTAGATAGGGTTGGAAGTGTCTCTCCCAACAGGGCCGTAAAGAAGCTGTTAGTTTTGACGGAATAATTAGGGGCCTCCTTTCCTTTTAAAGGCCCATGTGGTTACACTGGGCCCACGGTCACTGAACGCAGCCATCAGGCCAGCTCCTGTTTCTGCATCAACTTCCACTTACCGAGCCAACTTCCACTATGGCCAGTCGCCATGCCAGGTGCTTCTGACATGTGACCTGTATTTAATCCTCACACAATGCTGTCAGGTAAATGTAGTCTCTGCCTCCATTTACAAGAAGAGGAAGCTGAGGGTCGAGGAGGGAAACTGACTTACGCAGCTGCAGTAGGAAGAATAAATCACACCTGTCTCCTCCAAAGATGCCCACATCCTACCCTACCAGCCCGGGTACCCGGGAATACAGGCAACCAGACATGGCAAGTGACTTTGTGGATGAGATTAAGGGTATAGAGATTATTCTGGATTACCCAGTGGGCCCAGTGTAACTACACTGGGAATCGCAGAGGAAGAGGAAGGCAGCAGAGTCAGTCAGAGGGACGTGAAAACAGAAGAGGCAGGAGATTCGAAGAGTGAGATGGACTTCGCCCACCTTACTGATTTTGAAGACAGAGGAAGGGGGCCACAGCCGAGGCATACAGGTGGCCTCTAGAAGCCAAGAATGGTCCTCAACGGACACTCAGCCAGGGAATGGGACCTCAGTCCTCCAATCACAAGGGTCGTATTTTGCCAATAGCCTGAATGAGCAAGGAAACAGATTCTCCCCCAGAGCCTCCAGTAAGGATCACAGCCCTGCTGACACCTTGATTTGAACCCAGCAAGGCCTGTGCCAGACTTCTGATGAACGGAACTGTAAGATGACTCAAGTTGTGTTGTGTTAAGCTGCTACATTTGTGGTGATCTGTTTCAGCAGCAATAAATAACTAATGTGTACACCGACCTCAGAACTGGTACGTGGGAGAGCAGCGTTTAAACCCCGGGTCTGAGTGCCTAATCATAGTTCAACTCTGGTGGGGAGGCTTCTTGTGAATTCAGCTGCTGAAATAAATGAGTTAAGCTGAGGCCACCGGAGAAGAGGTTTTACATCGGCAGTATTTCCACACGATTCACAGGTGCCCAGGAGTACAGCTACTGCTCCTGGGAGCCGGGGACCTTAGAGGCTGCTGCACTTTAAGGCTAGTAAGTGTCCTCAAAATTAAAACCAATGTTCTCATTTTATAGGATGTTAATGGAGGCCCCGGGGGATGAAGTTACCTGTCCCAAGGCAACAGGTTAGCTGCAGAGCCACATTGGGTGGATCTTGCTTCCATACACCAGGGGCAGGTAACTCACAAGTAGCTTCACCTCACCCCGTGGCTAGTGGTGTCGGGGGCCTGGACCTCTGCCTCCCTATCACCTTGCACACACACGGTGCCTGGGGCAGCTGCCTAGACAAGATCAGTTACTCAGTTCAGAGAAGTAATTACATCAGCAGGGAGAGACAAAGAGAAAGCCACATCATAATGAACAGCCCCTCCCAGCCACCTTGAGGTCCCACTGCCAGAGACAACCACCCAGAACTCGCTAAACTACACAAATCTGCAGCTTCCCCTACAAGGGCTTTCTCTGTAATTTGTTCCAGGACGCAAGGTCCCCAGCTCTCCAAAGAAGGCCTCTCCTCAAAGAGCCTACTCATGGCCCTAGCCTTTGAGGTTATACTCTTATCTGTTTAATGAAGATATTTCACAAAGACATGGGGCATCGGTACAAACTCGTCTTCCCTTTGGAAAACCTCAAGCACCTCTGGGCCTGGTTTTGCTTGTGGTAGTCGGGCTGAGGTTCCTCCAGGGCTGGCCCAGAATTTTTAATGTGCTTCTTCCCAAGAGCTTGTCCCTGCAGCTGTCAAAGACGAATTCCATTAGACCCCTGCTCTCCTCACCCTAAAATCCATTTTATTAGGGCTTTTATTTCTAAGCCACTCAGCATAATGAGTTGCTTTCCTTACCACCAGGATCAACAAACAGCTTCCTGCTTCTACTCTGAAAACACAGACACCCCAAGTCGCAGGCTTATCTGGTCCGCAGGGATGCAGCCCCCACCTGCCTTGCGGTGACCAATTTCGCACCAGAGTAAAGAACCACATTTGGGAAAATTTTGCCACCTCTCTCAATTAACATTCTGAGCTCTGTGTGCCTTCCTTGGAGAATTGGGAGTAAGTTGCGGGAACATGAACAGTGGGGAACATGAATAACTGCTGTGGGGTCACAAGGGTACCCCAAATATTAAGAGCCACCATTTGTTCTCCAAATACCACGAGGCAAACTGAGCCCTCTCCATGAATTCTCTTTAGTCCTCATAACGCTCTACGACGGCAGGCCTATCATTTCACTGGTGAGACAATGAGGTTAAGCAGCTTGCTCAGGATTACCCAGCCAACAAACAGCAGAGCCGAGAGTCAAACCCTGGTCTCACGCCAAAGCACAGGCCCTTGCCCACTCCACTGTGACACAGGAACTTGATAAGGCATGTGAATTCTGCACTTCTCTTCAAACACGCCACACTTCAAACTGTGCTGATTCTAGGTACATTCCAGAGCCACAGTCACCCACAGACATGTCACCCACAGACCATTAAGTTAGATAAGGCAGGGCAAGGTGGTGGGAAAGGGACGTTTCCCTAAGAATTGCACAAACAGTAATCTTCTGGTCACCTCTCCTGTGTGTGGGCTACATCTCTGAGTTTGCCAAAATTTGGGCTGCTTTGTTTGGAATGAAGGAGAAGTATGCAGCTGAGAGAGGTGGGCAGCCAGGTCCCAGCTGGGGCCCCTTGACCTCTTTAGGAAAGTCACCACCAAGTAAAAACACGATTTTTAAAACAATCAGCTGGTCACAGCAGGAGGCACTTTCCAAGTGGAGGTGGCTAGTAGAGGAGGAAAGGAAAGCACTGGTACAGAGGAAAACCTGAGGGGGCCTCTGAGCTAGAGCCTGCTGGAGGTGGCAGCCAGGTCAGTTCACTTCTCCACAAACAGGGACTCCGAGGGCAGAGAGGAGACCCAAGTGTCCGAAGTCACACAACTACCGCGGGTGAGCGACGGACCAGCTCTGCTCACTGGGCCTCCCGGCGAGCCCGAGAAGCCATGTCCGCGCCGCTGCGGCGCGGCGGAGAGAAGAAGGGAGTGCGTTCCCCGGCGCAGCGCCTGGGCCGGCACAGCTTGCTTCTGTTGGACAGCAGCGCGACCCCCAGACACCGCCGCTTTACGAGTCGGCTGTCAGACGCCGACGAGGGTGCTGCCCCGCCAGCCCGAGAAAACAAAACCTCACACCAAACTTGGACATATAATGGCGAGGTTTACACCACGCCCTGCTTTTTAAAATCCAAAATTTAGACCTCTAGGGCAAAGAAGAATGTCGTGACCAGTTAGGGGTGGCGTTACCCTCTTTCCAAGCCCCGATTTCTTTTCCCTAAATTGCAAGAGCTTCCCTTCAGAGCACAGCGAGGGCTCAGGGCAGGGTCCCCGGCGAAGGCACAGCGCCCCGACTTAGGATGGGCCGGCGCTCCGCGGGTGCGCGGCGCAGACGACCCCCCTGCTGCTGGCGGGCAGCCCCACCAGCCAGGCCACCGCGAGGGGAGACGACCCCCACACTTACAGCTGCTCCGGTTTTCATTTTCAGTACAGTATGCAATAAATTACGTGAGCTATCCAGCACTTGACAATAAACCGGCTTCGTGCGCGATGACGGTGCCCATCGCGGGCTCATGTCCCTCTTCTGAGCGGTTTCAGGCAGGCGAGGCTAAGCCGGGGCGTTCGCGCCTTAGGTGTATTAAATGCATTTTCATGTTAGGATATTTTCAATTTCCGATGATTTATCGGACGTAACCCCATCGTAAGTCGAGGGAGATCTGGATTCCTGAGGGGTAAGAGCACGGCCCGCGGAATTTGGGGTGCTTCGGCAGGAGCGCCGCTCCCCCTTTCTCTGCTGGAACAAAGGGATCCGCGCTCCGGGGCCGGCGGTGGGCGCACCGAGCGGGCCCGGGCGCGGGGCTGCCGCCGGCCC